ATATGTCTACATAAAAAAACTAGGGGCCCAGCTAAAGCTGGATGTTTGTGTGACATTGAGAAAATTTGTTATACTGATGCGGCACAAAAAGTGTGATTTCAAAAATTGGACTTTACCAAAACCTTGGAAGTTTCTCTGCTAAAATAAGTTAGAAGAGTAAAAAAACTTTGAGACATTCAATTTTACTAGGGATGGTTGTTTATCTCAGAAACAAATTAGGGAGCCGCCGCTTCTAAAGGGATCCTTATCGCAACCGGTTCTTTCAGTTAAATTTTTCATCTCAGATTTGATTGTGTAAATTGTAAGAAATTTCAAAAAGTTTCTAGAAAACGGTCAAAAAGCTTTGCAAAATCCATGACTTCTTCCTTCAAAGAGTACGTTAAAGCGGCTCAAGCAGAGAAGATTCCCAAAACCGAGTTTCTCGATTGAATACAACCTGAGAAGTGGCACGGTAGTTTTCGCGTAAAGTTAAAAATTTGCAACAAACTGCTAAAGTTTAAAATTTTTGACAGGTTTGAAGCCATTACTTTATTCTCAAAGAAACAGGGTATAGCCAGTTAGAAAAATAGGAAATAGGCTTTCAACAACCTGTTATTTCAATTAAACTTATTGTATTAGAATTTGCAGGATAGTTACTGAGAAAATCCAAAATACTTAAAACTAATCAAAAGTTTGATATTTTCGAAAATCATAGCCTTTAGTGTTGAAAAAATATGAAGAAGCCGCTTTTGCAGACGAAAGTTATTCAACCTGTTCTTTCGATTGAACCCAAAATCTCAGATTTGGGAGATTAGCTCTCGAGAAATGTGAAAAACTCAAAACAAAAACGTCAAAAAGTCAAATTTCTGACTTTTCCGAGGGCCATAACTTTATGTGAAAGAAAGATTTTGGGCGTAAGCGCTCAAGCACAGAGCTTTTCGAAACCGTTTTATTCATTGAAATTAAAAACTCAGATTTGAGAGGTATAATCTTCGAGAAAACTAAAAATAAAACCGAAATAATGGGTCAACAAACATTCGCCCAAATACTTTTTCGAAGACTGTAGATAGAGGGGTCAAATAGAAAGAGACTCTAGGGTAGTATACAGGTACACATGGGAGTAGCCGGTCTTTCAACTGATACCCTTTTTTTGAAAATCAGTAGAAGTTTTCAAGAAAAACTAAAATACTAAAATGTTTCCAATGAAATTGGAAATATTTCTCCATAATGAGAAAACATCAACAAACCAATTTGTAAAGATATACCTAGCATGAAAATTGCAGAGGGAATTGTTCAAGTTGTTCTTGCCTTGAAACGACCCAAAAATAGGTCTTTAGGCTAATGAAAGTAGGTCGAAATAATTTTGGCCGAGGAATTTTTATAGGCGAAACAAAAAACGAAGAAGGAAATACGAAGTCAAGGTAAGTAAAATTACAAATTAAAGGAATAAAGCAAACACTAAAAGCAACATTTAAAAATGCACACAGTAAAAAAAACAATTTCAAGATCTGAGAACTAAGCCGACAACAGATAAGCAGACAAACAATTGGCCGTCAATTTCAATTGAAACCGAATATTTACCGTTTGAAAAAACAGGTCCAGGTCAGATTCGAACCCAGGACCTTTGCTTTGTACCCAGGATCTTTTCCGTCCCAGGAATATTCGTAACTTCCAGACTAAGCTGGCCGGGAACGCATCGAAGTTCGAATTCAAAGTGAAACAAGATACAAGTGATTCTGTTAAACAGCGTAATAATTCTTAAGCAGGGGCGCAGAGGCGTTTCTCCGTGAAAAGATGAACAGCTCATATGCTAGTCATTTCCTTAGTGGATAAATTGTCTTAACTTTAAGCTAACCTCTGATCTGCAGTTGTAGAAAAGCGCCTCCAGTTTTGCCAGAGCCAATTTCTGCAAATGATAGGAAGACCCGATGAGCTTGCTTGAACTCTTAACCTCTATTTCCAAAATACCCGAACTTAATTGCTGCAAGTACTTTTTCAGCTCCTCCGAGTCTGTTGATATCTTCGGAAGAGCTTCGTCGTCAAAGTAAGTTACGTCGACCTCTCGTCGTCGATTCGTATTACGTAATTTCGAATCCGAAAGCGATTCGCATTCAGCTATCAATGCAACTAGAGCGTCGAGAAGACCCTCAGATATTATCCAATCAGATTTGAGCTCAACTGTTCTTTGAAATCGCCCCAAGATTTCGTTGAATTCTTCATTGCGACTTCCAGGAAATTTAACAAGCTTCGTTTTGTTTGAATCGTTAAAATTGAGCAAATCTTTGCTGTCGTTGATGGAACCAAGTTGCAAAAAAGATAGAAGTTCAGTCATGGCTTCTAAGATTAACCAGAGGAAACCAGGAAACAATATTTTAGAGTTTCTCACATCTCGTTAACTGAAATCAACAAACTGATGTTATCATTCTTTTGAATAACAACACTAACTGAATAATCAGAATAATTAAGGTTTCTGCTATTCACAGCGGGTCAATAAAAGGTTATCCATCATTTCTGAGCATAGTCAGTTTCCGTTATTTCCCCATATTCCAAACAGTTATTTTGTTAAGCAAAGCTCTTTTTTGCGACTCAAGGCCGTTTTTTGCATCTAGATTTTCCAGATTAAAATGAAACATTTTCAAAGTTTAAACAAACCTCATGCATTTTCATCAAGCCTACTGCTCGCTGAGTTGAAACGATTTTCCTTTTTTACTAGGCAAGAAGATGTCAATGCCGTAGGTTAATTATTTAATGTTAACTGAACTATGGCCTTCCCGCAAATATTCATCGAGCAAACCAAAGCGCGTGTGCACTTTCAAACCGCAATTTTCGAAAAACTTTTGGCTAGTGTAATTAAAGGGTTTCTAACGACTGGCTCCTAACCACTGCGTCACAGAGACATATTTCTTGTTCGCCAAATCATTACAAAATTTAAAAAAAAACTAATATTCTGATTTCTGAGGAAACTTTTAAGAACTTGAAGTTTTTCATGTTGCAAAAAATAAACTACTTGAAATTGCAGAAAAACAAATTTAACCTATAATTTTCATGTTTATCCAACTAATGAAACTTTGATGTCATACCGTTCAATTTCCCGAGCTCTCGGGCAGACAAGTTTAAGAAAATTATGCCAAAAATACATCATTTTTATGGGGGAGTTAATTATTCGAGAGGCAAAGAGCTAGAGCTCCAGGTCGAGAGTGAGCGTCCCCCCATTACCAGATAACCTCAATTTCCTTTTTTCGCTGAGTATACGACCAAAAAATTGTAAAATCAAACAAAGGAAAATGCGGAATTGAAGAGTAAACCGGAAGTTCGGATAATCTCCATTTTGTTTTTTTTTTCAAATTGATCTTGACTTTGAACTAGAGATAAATGTTCAGACCTTAATTGACGTAACAATAGATAGCAAGAGAGAAGATTTAATCTGAACAAATATGGGGATAGATATGAACTTGATATTCGATGATGCAAAAAGTATTTCACGTTGCATGACTGAAGTTTTGAATTATGGTAAGTTAAAAGTGTAAAGCAGAAAAACAAACATTAATTAAGAAACGACGTTTGAGCGAAAATAAAACTAAACATTTCAATATAGATGCAAGTTTGAAAGCCCAGGGAAAATAGTTTTGTATGATTAAGAACTTTGAGGGGATGGTTTATCTTTTGTTTAACAAGAAGATTTATTGGATTGCTAAATCAGCTTCAGTAAGAATATGAAACTTAATTTTAGATTTTCATCTTAAAATTCTCCATAAAGTTCTTTGTTAATAGAGCTTCCAAAATTGTTTGCTTTAAATGAACAATGACTTCTTGAACTTCGGAAAACAATAAAACTTCCCATTGTTAAAGATCAGCAGTACAAAATTACCTACCGAAATGCTTCTGAACAAAATATTTAAATTAGTTCTGCTTAATTTCATAGTCTTTCACTTAATTTATTGCAGTAATCAAACGAAACCCGAAACTTCTGAATTACAAAACTTAGACACAGGTAAAATTTTACATGGTACGAGTGCCACTAAAGGTTCCGAAATTCACGATCTCATAATTTTCGATTCAACTGTCCAAATTAGTTCAGCTGAAAGTACAGGCAGTCTTTTGCCATCAAATGAATCATCAACAGCATCAAAACCGTTAGTTGATGAAAGTTCAACTACTAAAGATTTAGCGAGGGGCGATTCAAAAAATACCAAAGCCAAAGATGTAACTGAAAAATTACAACCAGATGAGAGCTCTCAAAACTCAACAAGTTCAGCAGAAAAAGGAAGCACTAATTCAGTTACAACAAATGAACCCCAGAACCCAAAAACCGACACCGGAACTAAGTCGACACCTCCAACAGAATCGAACATAGTAACAACAGCAATCAAATCGATCCAATCAGAATCAAGCACGGCTTCGAGTATCGCTGAAGTTGACATTTCAACGAGAGATGAAACCTTTCAAAAAACCACTGAGAGTTCGGTAGTTGTTACTGATGAAAATATAAGCAGCGGTTTAAATGTTTCGAAAATCGATTCAAATCATAAGATTACTGAGCCTGAAAATGAAGCAGAAACAACTACAAGCGCTTTCGAAACCGAACCGACAATACAATCAGAAATTTCTTCTACCACGGAACCTTTCATCGAAATAATCCTACAGGGACCTAAAAACATGAGCAGAATCGTCGAAAAACCATACCTACCTGAAAGCAAATTAGTCAATTACTCGGAAATTTTAGACAAAAACCTGAACATCAACGCAACAATCATAGATTTAGAATCATTCGAAAACTTTTCAGTGATTCGGTGTGCAGAGTGTTTAGTACCTCATGATTTTAATCAGGGTAATAATATCGATACTATTCATAACCAATGTGATTTTAGATGGTTCAGAGGAATCATCAACCCATTTTTTATCGGCGAAAACTTCTCGATGGAGGTTGAAAAAACTGATATCAATGATATTGATTTTGACAGCAATTATTTCTGGTGCTCTACCGATATAAAAATAACAATAGATTTTCCGGAAATCGATTTAGAAGCAGACGAAGGCGATTTGAATTTGACGAAAACTGAACTTGAAAATGTGACAGATACTTCTCAAAGCCCAACTTTGAGTGAAAACATGACAGTTGCTTCTGACAATGAAGCTCAGAAGATTGAAGACTATGATGATCTTATATCAGTCATTAACCTTAGCATCTTTCGAAAAGCCGCTCAAACGTCAGATTATCTGAGACCAGTAATTTTGCAATATGGAGAAATACAATTGCCTGATAACGGAACGAATGTAGCGCTAGAAAAACATACCTCGAATGAACGCGTCATATTGCTGCCATCTTTAGAAAGTTTTGAAAACTATTCAGAATTTTTGCGAGACGTGACTTACTGCACCAGAAAATCATGTGAAACCATTCCGACAAATGGAATCAAATTGATTGCTGGTATTGGAGTTTTCCTGAAAACAAAGCTCGATTTGATCACCGTACATAATTTTTCCATTCAACTGAAACCTTCGAAAGCCAGTTTTGAGCCGGTAGATTGGGTCTACAAATGGCCAGTCGAAAATGTGACCGAATTTCACATGGATAAATCATCAGTTTCACCTAAAACACTCTACCTCCAAGAAGGGTCGAATGTGATTATTAAATGCGGACTTAAAACTAATTCAAACATTAGCTGGAAAATTAACGAAAATGGAAACTTCACAAAACCACTGACTGAAAATGGCAGTCTGATTATCGAAAATTCAACTTTTCTCGATACCGGAAAATATCTGTGCTACCAGAACAACACAGAAAAAGAGTACAAAATTTTTATGTTTTTCCAGAATGAAACGCCAAAATTTGTTCAGAACCCAGCTGAATTAATGCCCGTTTTTCACGTCGAAAATTTTGGACAATCATTCCATATACCTTGCATTGTTAATAAAAATGTTTCGGTTCTGCTGGAAATCTGTATTCAAAATGAAGTCGAAACGAACTGCTACGAAGATTTATCGGCAAAACACGACTTGACTCGCGGTTTTGATCTTCACCTTGACGCAATTCAAACTAATGATATCATTGCAACTTGTCGAGTCAGCGATAATGTTTCAAATGCACAAAGTTTTAAATTCACCACTGGAAAAAGCGAAGTCATTTCCATCAAAGTAAAATCAGATGAATCGCAACTATTGGAATTAAATTGCGAAAATGAATGGACAAATGACCATCTTTCGAATATCGAATGGGAATTTAACGCTAAGACAATCGATAACGTCAAATTAGATGGTACAGTTCTGAAAATCTTTGAAGCTACTTCAAGCAATACCGGAGAATATACATGCAGCCAGGACCAAAAATTGATCAAGACATTTCGAGTTTACGTTAAGCCGGATGATGGCAGAATTTTTACAGAGAAAGGGCCGATTGCGGTTTATAAATTAAGCAATCTTACAAACATTTGCAAAGTCGCAAAACCAAAAATAAAACCAGAACTTGAAATTTGCGATTTCGGCGAACTTGAATGCATCAAGAATAGTTCTGGCAGAAAATTCCATCCTCTAACGGGATACCAAATAAATAATTTGTCCGATTTCCTCAATCAAAGCAAGGAAAAGCAGCTGTTTGTGAAATGTCAGCTGAATAATGAGTCTTTAGTTTACTATCCAAGGGTCGAAAGTTCGAATCTGACGCATGTCACTGGCGAAAATGTTACTGTTTTCTGTGGTTGTTTTGAAGATTCTAGAAACGTATCCTGGATTATGAAAGAGAACAAAAATACTGAAATACTAAATTTTTGGGGGTGCAGCTCTCTGAAAATAACAAATGCAACTTTTAGAAACACTGGAATTTATTCATGCATTAATGAGAAAGACCAAAAAGATTTCATGATATATGTTTACGATTCAAAACATCCGTTTATTATTGAAAGCCCGATATTTACGATACCTTCAAACGACGGCTCCAATAGAACCGTTACAATACCTGTACAAGTCACAGATCCTAAAATTATACCACAGCTGATTGGCTACAAGAATCAACCAATCGCGGCGCAGTTCGTGTCACGTTTGATTGGCTACGATAATGAGCCAATCACAGCGCAAGGACTGAGAGTAAAAATCAAAGACATTGACGGACCTCAGATTTTTGTGACAGCTGAAAACTTTACTGTCGCCTTAGAATTATTTACCAGCTCAGAAACCGATATAGTCATTCCGAAAAATCACAGTAGCAAAATTTTCTGCGGATATCATGGGAAAATTTCTTGGAACCATCGATTACTTAAAACAACTAAAATTAACAGCAACTCGAGTCGCAAAATTGAAACTTCGAAATTCTTGGAAATCAGAAACCCTCAATATATGGATACCGGTCGTTACTCGTGTTTGATAAACGGCACCATATTTCGAAGCTTCAATGTTTTTGTTCCCGACAATGATCATGTTTTTGTTGCAGATACTGTAAACATTATTATCATCAGCGAAACAACCAGATCAAATATGTCGTCTGAAATTATTCTACCTTGTAGAACTTCAATTGCTGCACGGAACTTTTCTTTACAGCAATGTGACGACTCTTGTCAAAACGTCGAAAATTTTACTTTCAACGACGAAAATGATGTGATAATACGGCATAATAATAGCATATCGAAATATGTTTGCAAAGACGAATCATCGGGCCAATTTATCAGTAACTTCATAACTACAGAGCCTTCAGAAAGAATCATAGTATCAAAAAACGAAACAATAGCGTTTCACTGCGGATGTAATTTAGCCGAAAACACTTCAAGTATAAAATGGAAATTCCAATCTACTCAAGTATACAATAATTCCAAAACTGCGATTCTTGACAAGAACAACTGTAGTTCCCTAAAAATAGTCAACTCCTCAGTCGAAAACGTAGGGCGCTACCAGTGTATAGTCGCAAACCAAACGGCTAAAAGTTACTATCTGTTCGTAAACGATTCGACAAAAATCTTCGTGGATTCTACTTTAAAAACCATCTTGGTACCAAAAGAAAATCTTAGCCATGAGCTAACAATTCCTTGCCAAACAGTTTTACCAAATTACGAAATCAGTTTGCAAACTTGTGAAAAGAATATAAAAAACTGCCGCAATGTCTTAATACCTCCAAAATTTGACCCTAAAATTGGCGCCCGAATTTCAATTACCGAATTTACTAGAGCAGTCAAATGTCTAGGGTCAAATAATTTGATTAACGAAACTTCAACTTTCATAATTCACACTTTACCAGACAATTTTCACGTAAGTGTAGCTATAAGATCCAATAAAATTACCTCGAAACGACTCGTGGACGAAAATTTGGTGCTTTTATGCGAAATCCGAGTTCGAAAGCCGACAAAAGCGATACCATATAAGGTAAGTTGGCATCATGAAACGAAAGAAATAAAACCGATTGATGTTGAAACAACCGCCTATCATAGGGGGCATTCTGCCGTGTTGATTTCAAATGCGACATTCAGCATGCTTAAATTTTCAGATAGTGGCGATTATTTATGCAGTGTAGAATTTTTCAATTCCTCGAACTCAGATTTAAGTTACAACTCTGTTAATAAATTTGAAATCGATATGAGCAATTCAAGTATTTTGGACGTCAAACTTCGCAAAGTAATAGTGCATGATAAAGATTTGTCGCTTGCACGAGAAATTGACCCCTCAGAAATGCCGAGATATGAAATAATTTTGCACAAAGTCAGCGATAAAGCAGCCAACGTCACGCTTATTTATGACGTCAAATCACTTCCAGGAATTAAAGAATCACAGATACAACCTTTTAAAGAGATGTATAAAATACCTTCAAATTGCATCAACGTGACAAATATTGACGATTTTAACTTTTCCGTGGAAATAACTGCCCAAATTCCTGCAAGACTTGCAAAATTCAACGGGAAAGTGAACACAACCTTTACAAATGGATTAATGACTGTCAAAGACTCGTTCGCTATTAGGACTTCAATAGAACCGAACTGTGAACCGAAAGAACCTGCGAACTTGTTAATTTTAGGGGAAGCTCCTTGTCAGCATAAATTGTACCCCAAAAACGAACTGTATACATTTCAGTGTACGTTCAATTCGCTTAATCTTATCGACGTAACTTTCAAACACGGCAACAAAGTTTTCGACAACGAAAGCAATTCGGTTAACTGTGCCCGTTATAACAAAGAAGTTTATAACAAAATCACTTGTAACTTAACATTGCTGATTAATACTCAAGAAAACGTGTCATGTTTTGGCGCCAGTGCTTCCAGTGAAAATCGAAAATTTTTGAATCATACTTTCGAAATTAAATTAGCAGAGGAGAGAAAGGGGTTGGACCTTTACATGTCGAAGCTTGGTCAAGGTCAAAGAAAGCATAATTTGACCATTTACGACTTCGAGGGCCTTGAAATTCGGTGCAACGCGCCTCGAAATGCATTCAAACCCGACATTCACATTCAGTACATAACAGATGGGGGAGAAAATATCAATGTCTATACTGGTGATGAAATAGGAGTACAATGGATGATGAAAACCGAACAATACTCGTACATTGCCGTTCTCACGATCGAAAAACTCGGCAGGAACTATCAGAACCGAACATTCACATGTAAAGGTCAATATGCGTCCGACATGTCGTGTCCTCTCGACGAGTCTCGAAAGGTCACTCTTCATGTCAAAGAGTCAATTCCAGTTCAAGTCCTGAATCCTGAAGAAGAGTATAACCAAACGAGTTGTTATGTAATACCTCGGGAAAGCGACACTGAGTTCGAGTCAAACTGTGAAAACATCACAGTATGTTCTGCTTTTGGTAGCCCAGAACCCGAAGTTATCTGGTACAAAGGTGACATGAGTTCAACTGAACGGGCGGAAGTTTCGAAACCGGAAAGAGAAAAAAAAGACAATAGTATCTTGATTTCGACCGCTTTGGATAATTACAAGTACGGGCAGAAGCCTTCATCTCAATATACGTGCCGAGCTAGTAACAAAATAGGAGATGCAATAATGAAAGATAGCTTTACGATTTTTGTTGACGTTTTTGAAAAGCCTCAAATAAAGTTCCCCGCATCTTTTTTCAACAACCCGAAGGACAAAGACGATATTTATTTCGAAATTATTGCCGGGAACCCGGAACCGGAGACAAAATTCATCAAAATTCTCAATGATACTCACGCGGTTTCAGGAGCGAAGTGGAAAAAACCAAAGGAAAGAGACGGGAAATTCTATCTTTTTGAACACAACGCTGATTTTAACTTTAAAGGGCTAGGGCAATACAGAGTTGTAGCGACCAACGAGGCTGGAAGCGAAAAGACGACAATAAGTTTACAAAACGAAGACGATGACAATTACAGCAAATATACTGTCGCTATTATTTCATGCCTTGGCGCTGTTACACTAATTGCAGTTCTGGCAGCTGCCATAGCGCTTGTAAAACGGCTAAAAGAACTTTCAATACGAGGCCAAACTCAGTTCGAGAAAAACATGATTTCACTGAAGAAAATGTCGATAGCGCCTGAACAAAATATGACCTTAGAAGTCCCTGAAGTACAAGATATAAGAAATTGGGGTTTGATTTTAGACGAAAGACAGCTAGAAATCCACAATCGAATCGGCCAAGGCGCATTCGGCACGGTTTACAGGGGCTACATGACAACCCTAATGGGAACAAATTACTCAAGAACTGAAGTCGCTATTAAGCAACTGAAAAACGGAATCGAAGACACTAGATCTCTTTGCATTGAGATGGCACTTTTACTTCACGTTCGAGACCATCCAAACGTCCTGAAGCTTCTAGGAATCACAACGTCCAAGACCTTGAAACTGGTTCTCGAATATGCCCCGTATGGCAACTTGCGGACATTTTTGAAAGCTAATCGAAGCAATTTTCCGAATTATATTTTGCCCCCAAGTGTGGATACATATAGAGGCAGTTACAGACCGCTTGACACTGGAGGGCAAAACGAGCACCGAGTGAGAGCTATGAGCATGTTATCTACCACCGTCGGATCACCTGGGAACTCTACGTCAACCACCAACGACAAATCACACCTACAATGCAGGGAGCTGGCTATGGACAATTTATTGGGCTACGCCTTACAAATGGCTCAAGGCATGATATATCTACACTCAAAGCATATGATTCATCGGGACATAGCAGCTCGGAACATTCTCGTGTTTTCGGACAAATTAGTCAAAATCGGAGATTTCGGTCTCGCTCGCAACCTCTACCACAACACAGTTTACCACATGACGAGCAACAAAATTCCTTTCCGCTGGATGGCTTTGGAGACCATCCGGGATTCGAATTACAGCTACCAGTCAGATGTTTGGTCTTATGGGATCCTGCTTTGGGAGATTTTCAGTCTTGGCACAGATCCGTATCCTGGCTTTGCAGATGACCGAGATCTGTTCGACAGACTGACAGAAGGATACAGGATGGACTGTCCTAATTTACTGAATGACACTCACAGGGATGTTTACAACCTGATGTTGTGTTGTTGGGAAAACACTCCAGATGATAGAGTATCATTCCGAGAAATCAAAGTAGGTCGAAAGCTTTTAACTTTTTTTGTTGCCCCGACCACGAGAGGGCTGTAGTTTTTTGTGGGCTGTAGTTTTTTGCTTGTGTAATAAATCAACTAAGCTTAAACTGATGACCAAATAAGTCAAGCTCTGGATGCTACTATGAGCTCTTTCAGAATCAACGTTTCAACTGCTAGAACACACCGATTTGCCTAAGCTGCTTCAAACACTTGATATGTCATTTTCGTGGTGTTTGTCCCGACCATTGAAAATGGAGAATTTTGTACTCGGGTGTATTTTAGTTTTTCGTTTACCATGAAAAATCAGGTACCATAAATAATCATCGGAATGGGCCGAATGGTATATCAAATTAAGACCCGTATCAGTATCAATATTTATAAAAAGGTCCCAGTATCGAGAAAAACCGAATTGAAGTTTAAGACTTCTAGTTTAATTCCGAGCGAGTAGAGATTGAGTAACGTTATTTATTTAAAAACTAGGCTCAAAAACTTGATTTTACTTTGAAGAGAACTGGTTTCAGAAGCTTAATTGAGCGCTTTCTTGCGAATAAATCTTTTCTTAAAAAAATTAAAAATTATTATGCAAAAAACTATATTAGAAAAAGTTTTCGACATTTCTTTAAAAAAATTTACTTTCGTCAATAATTTTTGAAAACAAATGCTGTCAGTTATGTCTAATTCACTAACTTTCTACACGTTTGCATTGTTCTCTCGTCACACCACGCACTAAAAACGACGGTAAATTATAGAAAAAAATTCTTCTAACATTAGATCTGATCTGATAGAGTGGTGTAACAATGGTTAAAAGAAATAGGCAGTATGATTTTTTATAAAACTCACAAACGTCTTTTGTTGCCTTCAATTAGCATCATGTAGGTTATCTCTGTTTTAAACGCTAGAGGCATCAAGTGAATTAAGACTAGCTTTTCAGGCCTTAATTAGTAAACTTAATTGGACTACTCCTGTACTTATAAAAAGGACTTAATTTGAAACAAATAATCGTCATTAAAAGGGGGTTAAATTGTTGTGGGGTTATCATGTTACGGGGTTATAATATAGGGGGTGTAAACATAGGGGGTGTAATATCGCAGGGTTAAAGAGTGGGCACCCAGAAAATTAGGTACACCAGATAATCATCAGATGTGCTCGAGAGCTGTATCACATTAAAACCACTACAGCCATGATTCAATCAATATGTAAACAATTCGAAAAAAATTCTCGGGGTCAACGTCTATTCTTTTCGTATTCATCGTTGTCCTACCCACATTTTCACACTTTGCAGTCATTTAAATCAGATTGAAGTCATTTAAATTGGAGTAATTTAAATCAGGTACTCAATGACTCCAACAGTCAATTAACTATTTTGTAATCACTCAGATTCAAAAGGACAATAAATTAACTAATTGATAATCACTCAGATTCAAAAGGAAATTTAATCACTGAGCGTCGAATCTTTTGCAATACAGCATTAAATGAGAACTGAAATAATTAACAAGATAAGCCGGTTCCGAGCATAGTCATACAAACACTAACAATTAAAGCAACAATTTTTATATCAACTTAGTATAGTTTTGTGATTGATGTGATGAAAATACTTCAAGAACGCGTAAAAATCCAGTGAATTATGCATGGTCGACGGCTGTTAATTTGAAGAGTTGAATAACAAACAAGATAAAAGAAGAAAAAACCTTCGAAACAAATCAAAAATTCATATATATTTGCCGAAGAATTTTCAGCTTTAAAAAATTATTGCCAAGGAAGCCCTTAAGTAATCTTCTGAAACTAATTTTCTTGAATTAAAGCTTAGTTTTTCACTACTTGAATGAAATTGTTTTTAGAACTACTAGTTCACCTTACATACGAATTTAGACTAAACGTCGAAAATTTCAAAACGGTGTTTCTGAACTTTCTCAAGATTCAAAAAAATATATCAACGTAACGTCTTTTTTCGCTTGGCACTCGCCCCTCACGATATATAATTTTCGAATCTAACGATAGTTTAGTCTTAATAACTAAAGACTTCACAATAGTTAAGTCTGAAAAACCAGACTTCACTGAATTACAATTGAAAGAGGTGCAATACAATCCTTCCGATCTGTCAAAAAAAACTTGGACGATCTGACGATTGTACGAGCAGAAAACACAGCAGAATACACCTTCCACTATTATGACGAAATCATAGGGACATATATCAATCTCCATAAAAACACTACACCATGTATGGAGAAAACAAATGCGTAGAAAACAGGAGTAGATGCTTACTATGCAGTTAGCTCAGAAAGTACCGAGCATATTAAAAAGAAAAAATATGTGGGTGAAACAGAAACAAAAACCAAAGCACTAAGAGGCAGTCCCCCACACTTTCAGTAATCGGAAAATTTAGGGGAACTCGAAATCAGCAGGTTTATCGATTGATTTTTATCGATTGCAGATTTATCGATTGACGGCATATCACTAGTTGGTGCTTCACTAATAAAATCAAGTACTTGAGCTAATCAAAAATCTTCATCGGAACCACTATAAAAGTAGCAGTCAGAGTTTGGTTGCTCACCTCGAATGATGATTGTTAGCTGAGATATCTACTCTTCAAACTGATCAAAATCATTGGTAAAATAAAACACAGAGGCAAAGCTGTGTTTCGCATACACTTGCGAGAACTCGACCAGAAAGCAGCTCTATCAAGTGACAAGAGAAAAAGTAGAAATAAGGCTCAAATTAGCAAAAACTCGGCTACGTGTCGGATTCGAATCTGCGACCTAGCAAATTGGAGTCTCACGCATTAACCACTCAGCCACAGATGCTTAAAATCCCCAAAAACTAGCCACCAATAACGCAGCTACATATGCTAACAAATTGCCAATTCTATGCAGCAAAAGTAGAACCAAATACAAAAAGACACAATTTTGCATGTAATAAATTGCAAAGCATAAAGCAACATTAAGTATAAATTATGTATTTCAAAAAATTGCGATATTGGGCTGGACAATTTCTGATATCGAGTTTTTATTGTTATTTTGTTTGAAACAAATAGCTTTTTTTGGTTCATTTGATGAACTAAAATTGCATCAACTGTGTAACCTTATTGACTATTCGAATGTCAAAGCACATGCTATCAATAAGCTGTAAAAGTGCACAAAAGAGGCAACAATATTTGCGACTTTAGGTTGAAAAAAAAAAGAAAGTTCGTACTAATACACTTTGCTTCGAAAGTGTGCACACGTTAAATTTTTGGAAATAATACGTACGAGGAATCGAAATTTCAAATAGTTTTCGTGGAACACCTTTGAATAGGCATCCAATAATCACAATTCTCTTTAAAGGATCAACCAACATTCGCTCTCGGCTCTATTTCCTTCCCCCCCCCCCCACCTCACACGAGCTTCAATATATTAGTGTAACGAGTGGTTTTAAGAGGTTGAGTATGAAGACAAAATATGTTTGTCGTGGGCTTATTAGTCTGTATGTAAATTTTCATAACAATTAGACAATGTGGTCAACAAATTTACATGTAAAAATTTGCAGGTGGGGAGGAAAAGGAAAAAGAGCCTCGCTCTCTAACCCTTGATTTGTTTGCGACCGCCAGGAAGCACCTACTGTAAATGTTTTTGATAATGTATGCTCACTGAAACCAAGTTCCGGTTTTTGTCGACAAGAGTCGTCTTCGGAATTCGATTGCTTGATTGATGATACCAATTTTATGCAATATTGACACCAATTGTGATGCTGTACTTACGTGATTATTAAGCTTGACAGCAAGCTGAACAAATTTAATCCAAAATGTTGCTACTACTGCTTGATCGGAGTTTTTCAATTAACAGTTCAATGATGAAAATGATCTCATTTCAAACTCGCCAACTCTTTTAAAACTCGTAGAAAGAAAACTAATAACTCAGAAGCAAAGCATGGGTTAACTGCAATATAAACAACCCGATTCAGGTACATTTTAGGAATGAGTTTATTCAGTCTGTTGAAGTTCTAAGTAAAATTCCATAGCTGGATTCAAGTCAGTTCACAATTCAAATGATTCACTGCTAATTTCATTTTAAATTTCAGGAATTTTTCATTTCCAAAGTTCCCGAATGTTTGCTGGCCCAAATTCAAGTGGAGGACAACGTAGCAGAAGAGCAGTTGAGCAGCGACGGTTCTGAGCGGGGGGAGTCGCCTTCGTCGAATATAGAAACAAATTACAACGTCATGACTTCATCAAATGGCAGCAGTAACGCAACTACCGTACAATTGCCAAACACATCAGGAAGTTGTGTTAATAATGATGAAGATATGAATGCAGTTGAACGAGCCGCTTCTGCTTTATACACAGCTATGCGAGGAGGATCCCTAACTCCTCCTGGCGGCAACGAAAGCCAACGTCAGGCTGGAATCCGATCTCAGAGCATCGACGCTCCGGCTGCAGTGCGACCTTCGGTACTGCCCTTGGGAGGCACCGTCGGTTCTCGTCGTGTAAGAATAGTTGATAACAGAAATGCTCATGGTAACAGTCGTGTGAACAACACAGGAGCAACCAGTCTTTCAATTACAAATCAACCAGACGCAAGATTATGTGAAACAGAACACAGTGAAATCTGACACGACGCGAGGTCAAAAATGATTTTCAGACTGATCAATTAATGAATTTGAATTACCAAAATAAATATATTTTGTATTTACCAGTTTAATTTCGTACTGTATCCAGTTTAACTGATTGATAGATTTGCAGTTTTAATCCCAGTTAGATTAACACTTCAGCGGGCATTGGTTTGTCATCCAGAGCAGCCAGTAAATTTTCGACAGCAAGCATCGCCATATTAGCTCTTGTTTCTTCAGAAGCACTTCCAATATGAGGCAAAACAGTGCAATTCGGCAAATGCAACAAGGGGTGACTTTTGAGCAAAGGTTCTGGCGTAGTTACATCCAAACCTGCGGCTCTAATAGTACCATTAGTCAATGCTTCAAGAAGAGCATCTTGGTCTAAAACGTCCCCACGACTCGCATTGATCAGAATTGCCTCCGACTTCATTTTTGAAAGAAATTCCTTGTTCACAAGTAGTTTAGTCGATTCATTTGACGCGCACAGCACAATTACAAAATCGCTTTTCTGTAACATAGCATTCAAATCTAGTCTTTCACACGGAACAGAAATCGACCTCACTGTTTCTTCATCTATCGAAGAATTTCTGGTCGAGTAGCAAAACTGTTTGACCGAGAAAGAAGAAAGGAGTTTGGCGACACTTTGGGCTATTCTTCCGAATCCCACGAATCCAACGGTTGAGCCTTTGATATCTTTGCCACACATCCAGTTTGGGTTCCATCTCCCTACTTCTCTAAAACATTCGAACCAATACTCAGAAAATGGCCGCTCAACTCAGATTGGTTGAAACTTTTTTTGAATTTAAATAAGAGCTCGATCTCAGTCATCAAAAGGCAAACTAAGTCATCCGTCTCTACAACTTTATCTCAGGGTGCTAAAAAATGGCTCCATTTTCAATATTCATTTGAAAATCAAGCATTAAAATGTAATCTGCGCAACAAAAAATGATTCCTGACAAACTCACGCAATTGATTCGGGAAAAAAGTAACATAGCCGATCTAAATAAGAATAACCAGTGGGCGGATCTAGGATTTTCTCGAAAGGGGGCGGATATTCAAAAAATTTTTGAAAATTTTATTTTTTTAGGTCGAGCAAATTGATTTTCCGAGCTCTCCTAAGCACAAAAAGAGGTTGTTTTCGCCAAATTTTCTGCGCCGCAGTCAAATTTTGGAAAAAACAGGTCAAAAAGCCGTTATTGGGCACTTTTTGGAAAATTTTGACAAAAAATTCGCGTTTTTTTGGCGCACGCTCCCCCTCAAAGTTAGTATATATTGGCGCCAAAGGCGGCTTTAGAAAAATTTTAGGGTCGGTCGGCCAAAAATGGATTTCTTAAAAAGTAACAGAGGGGGGACCCTTTGGGTCGGCAGGGGGTCGGATCCCTCCTAAATCCCCCCCCCCCCCCCTAAATCCGCCCTGAGAATAGCGGATTGCTATCCAAGTAATCACAATCAATCTTGTGAAAAAACATGATTGATTTTTTTGATAATTTAGTAGTTTTTTGGCGTGGCTGCATTGAAATTCCTTTTCCAGAGCGATTTGCTGCAATTAAATTAGGTATCATTAATATAGTATTCATGCGAAAATTAGCATAAAGAAAATTCAGAAACTATTTCAAAAAATTGGCTTGCATGCATCTTTAGCTTTGAAAAAAATGTCCATGTACATAGGAAGAGAGAAAGTTACAGCAAAAAAATTTTGATTTCATGTTGAAAGCTTTTCGAACGGCGCATGAATTTTCGACAAAATCATTCAAAAATTGCAGCGAATTTCAAACTCAAACCACAATCAAGCAATCGGTATGCTCCGGGGGGCCTTTCAATGCGAGAAGTTTCCATGCTCTACCTCAACGCTTTCAAGACTATCCCAGAGATATTTAGTTAGAGGACAAGTTTACGATTTAAGGCGATCCTGGACACCACATGGCAATGGATAAGAGATCGATTCGAAGAGTCATAAGACAGCACAGCATAGATATTTTCCGAAATGCTGCTATAACGGCATGCCAATGTAGATTAACAGCTCTTTATATAAAAAAAAACTTTGCATTGGAGACACCTTGATTGGGCTTCGTCATGTGAAAATTGAAGATATCGTGATTGGACAAAAGTTCTGTCTGTCTCTAGGGTCGCTTCTTTCTTAACTCAGGCGACAGGTGATGTCTAATTTACAGACAAAAATATTGCCAAAAATGGAAAAAACGACCATCAATTTGATAGACCAGCTAGCTAGATTTTGGATGCATGGTGCGATATCTCTCAAGTAACCAAAAATGACCCTTTTTGACAAAGGCATTTTAATGAAGCAGACAATTGCGATTGGCCAAGAGTCAGGACATTTGAGCACGAAAAGGCCTCATCCCCTCCAGATTGATTTACGTCAAAATTTCTAAAAACAAGTGCAGTTCTGATCTGCCCTGGCCCTCTTGTAATCCTGATCTATATTATTGAGCCTGAGTGAGATATCAGGAAACAAAAAAAAACCGGTAACTTCCCAAATGGCATAATTCCCAAATGGCATAAAAATGGAAACTTTTCCCAAATGGCATAAATTTCAAGTTTTCATTGTAATTTAAACGTTTTCTTTCAATTTCTAACTCTAACATTTTGTCAGGAACGAAAGCATGTGAACAAGATTTGTAATTAATTGCTTCCAAACAAATTTAAGCCACAGGTTTGCCGAAAAAATTTGACCACAAGAAGCTTATTAATAACCGCAAGCTTATGCTTCTTGCTTTTGATAAAAAGTTCTACAAGTTTTTCACGATAAAATGTCAATCAACATTTGAATTGACAATTTGACTAATTTTCTCACATTGTTCACGAAAAAATTGTTCTCGATTTTTCCAAAGCAACTGTTGCATGAAATTTATGTCATTTGGGAAATATTTCATTTTTATTCCATTTGGGAATTATGCCATTTGAGACGTAATCAAAAAACCGGCGAGAAATTTAAAAATTTAATATGTTAATAACGAAGAAATTTTACGACATGAAACCTTTTCAAGTGATGAAGGAAGTGTGAAATTTTATGGCATGAAACCTTTTCAACTCTGAAGTGATGAAGGAAAATTCAATTGATGCATCGGAAATTGGGAAAGCCAAACTGGCTATTAAATGATACTACGTTTTACTTCTCAATTTGCAAGTTTTTAATTTTTCAGGTTGCGCTACTTTTTCTCTACTATATATGGTTTGAAATCTGCGAGCTTCATTGATGGTAACTTCATTGATGACAATCAATTATAAATTTGAGAGATTATTGATGCTATCTCTTATATGGAACAAACACAGCATGATTTCAACGTATTACGAAACAGTCTGTTTTAGCCCCCAAGCAGGAAGTAGACTCCACGGCTCAGATTACCAATGAAAATTGAAAGTCATCTGGAGTCACAATTCAGAACAGAGAAAGACCGATCGAAGATGGGAAGAAATGCGAGCGGAGTAAAAAAAATCGTGTGCAAATGAAAATAAAAGAAGATTACTGAGAACTCAGATTTGAATCGTATGTTACAAAAAACTTCGATAAACAACACATCCAATCATCACGGAAAGTAAAAAATGCAAAAACATATTGCTACAAGGAAAAAATTATTGCAATTTCAGAAGATTGCTTCATTGACCGATTGGCAATGATGGAGAAGAGTGCAATGATTGAAAGCACCGAAGAATTGAAGAGTCTATTACCTTAAACAACCTATAGTCCACCATTAAACTTGTCAAGACAAACCCCTCCGAAAATACAGAAGCCAATCAATTTCGACGTTACTCCACGCAGCGACGCAAGGCTGTGCGCAAATCACTTTAACGATCAGATTAACTCTCACCCAACAAAGTCTGACATAACAAAAACAACAGTTACGCGCCATATTAGAAAACTTAAAGTTAGCAAAATTACAATATCATCGCCAATGGTACAAGTGATCATAAAAACAATAAAGAAGTGAGCTTCTAGGGCTTAACAAATTGGGCTATCGACTTCAATCTGGGACCCAAGTGGCCTTCAATTTCTTACACAAATCATGATGACTTAAATAACTCAGACTTAAGAACTAACACCAAGCGATGGCTGTTATGATACCTCCAACGACACTTGACATGTTGAATTGAGAGACGCAAAATTTTGCATGAGAAAAGTTAAACAAGGTGTACCACAAGAAAATGCTTTTTGCCCACACTCTTTAACCCATATATGGGCTCCATGCCTAAGCCACGATAAAATTTTAAGCTTGTCACTTATGCTGATGAAGCTTCACACATCAATGAACTTTTACCACATTCAACTCAACGAATGGCTAAAACATGCACACTTATCTCTTGAAAACAAATCCATGGCAACTCTTTAATTTTTAGTCTGCCAAACTAAATTAGGAAGCCAAAGTCAATAAATCAAAAATTTTGGGTGTCGCCTACGATAACATAATCACACTTGGAACATTGCACTCAATATTTGCACATAAGCTCAGGCCAGAAACAACATCTTCAAAAAACTTATTTGTTTCAAAAAGGGATGCTAAAAAGAAACACTAGTCGTCAGCTATAAAGCAATAGGTCGTACCGTGACGAAATACGTCGCACACATCTGCTCTCCAAGTTTAAGCAACAACAACTGATCAAAACTTCAAAAGAAACAAAACAATGCTCTTAGAACTATCACTGGCCGTTTAAATGACGAGCATGGATCATTTAAATAATGAAACCAAAACTGTCCCTGTTTGAGTAAATAAGGGAATGCTTGCCAAACAGTTCTGCCTCTGAAGCCATATTCCGGAGCGAGCAGACCATAAAATCAAACAGGAGACGCATAATGAAATCAACACTTGAAACAATACTACCAAAAAGCTGCGGTACTCCTACCAACTGATTCAGTTCGTACAAATATTCAATATAAAGTAGGCCCCAAACATCTGCATACTGACTGCAACTGTGAGAGACTTTACTGAGAGTCATCACAGTAAACTTTTTGGTATGACCAATCCTGGAAAAAACTTCGAAGAAAACACACAGAATTGATCCAAAAGTGGCTAAGATATGCGTTGTTTGCAATCTAGGGCCGCATGACACGCACAACTTATTCAACTGTCCAGGCTGACTGACAGAACTCAATATCCTCAGTATGAAGACCAGTGTTATCCTCAGTCTATGAAGACCAGTGTTAAAAGGCTGCTCGCGTAACCTACGCTAGTGGCATGCTCTAGCTATTCCGTCGGGACCAATAACACTGGACCAGGGACGAGAAGAAATCACTATTAACAGAAATAAATGAACCCAATGTCTTCCAGAGTCAACGGGTGGCATTACCAACCTTTTCAAACTTAGACAAAAACATAAAAATTAGCAATGAGGCGAACACAGTGAGCTCAGAAAAAGGTTAACTTGAACCAATGGTGCTGGAGCTCACATTCCGAAAACTTAGAGCAACAAGCTCACAATAAAACTTGTGAATAATTTCATGATAGTGGGACCAGGCAAAATTCACTCCACTATTTTGGCATGAGAGAAAATTACCAGCGCAGCTCAAAAATATTTCAAATGATTGCACGTACAACGCAAGCCAAAATGGTTATTTAACTCGTTACCTTATCAGGTTTTAGATTTATGAATTCATTGCCTTTTTCCGATCAACTTATCGAGATGGATGTCCGCTTTTTGACATCATATTAGACTGAAATCTTCTACAGTTCGAATCTCGTTTTTACTTTAATCACTCACCAAGGAACATTAGAAGCATTGCAATTTTGCTAGTGAAAAGGGAATTGACGCAAAAAACATTGACACTCTTGTCTTACTTTTACAGAGAAAAATGACGGTAAATGATTTGCATGATACCTTTATCATCAAAAGACTCATCTAACTTCACGAAATTAAGAAGACTAGCCCTTTTATGCGCTTCAGGTCTCCCTGAGATTTGCAGACTTGTTGCACCTACTTACCCATTCAAAAGATACTCATTTCTAGATAATTTGGGTATTCTATCCCTTGTTCGGTTGGGAGGTTTAAAACGTCAATAAGGCATGACATGACGCACGTTTATTAGAAAAAAAAACATTTTAATTGTTTAGGATTCCCTCCAGTACTTACCCATTCAAAAGACACTTGTGCGATTCAATTAGCCTCCTGGACGCTGCCAGCAAAAGAGCCACCACTAGTTCAGCTGTAGTATCTGTCAATACATCAGGCGTATATCCGATTCGGATACCCCGCGCTCGAAGAGCCTTAACATCCAAATGATCGTAGCCCACTGTCATTGTAGAAATGCACTTCAAATTCGGTCCTATCGATTCAATCACATCACTAAAACGCATCACTAAACTGCCCTTTTCAGAAACTTAACATAGACAGTTGGAAAAGTGTCAATGAACTCATTCGAAACCGAAACGAAAGCCGGGTATTTTACTAAACTGCCCTTTTCAGAAACTAAACATAGCTGCATCACTAAACTGCCCTTTTCAGAAACTAAACATGGACAGTTGGAAAAGTGTCAATGAACTCATTCGAAACCGAAACGAAAGCCGAGTATTTTCTAGACTCTGAGTTCATGAATATTCTATGATTGGTACTTTTTCATAAAATTAACCCCATTGGAGAAAACAGAATCGATAGAAATTTTTATCCCTTCTAAGAAACCTACAAATTAAAATCCACTTTCCCAAGAATTGATTAACCTTTCTCAATAATAACTATATAGCAACTAGAATTTTAACAAGAGTTTACTTCTTTATTTTGGATTCCAATGTAACCAGAAGACCGTGAACATGTTGGAGTCGACTCTTCAAGTCATCGCCAGACACTGGATCATCACTATCCCACAGCTCAACATCAACGGATGCGCAGCTCTTCAAAAACGTAGCAACCCTTTGGGGTATCCGTTGCGCGACCAAAACAGAACGGGTTGCCATTTTCTTGCATCTGGAACATTTTTCTTAGTAATCAGAAGGTCAAAAGTATCATAAAAACCGAGGTTACAGTCAGGAGTCCCTTCATCACGTATTCCAGTCAAAATCCTTTCGGTGACAAAAATTGTCTCTGTCCAATTTTTTTTGGATTTCATTTTCCGGAGCCATTTCAATTTTCCAATTTCAAACCACCGTTTAAGCGAAGCGCATCATCATAGGTTCCATCCACATGCTCCAAACCAAAGATTTCGCTCAAGGCAATTTTTGCTCCTACTGCTGAAGCTAAGAAAGCGTGTAAAGCGAGTAATCGAGCGGAAGAAACGCCTAAGTCACCTTTGGCTGCCGGGAGAACTGCTTGTAAAAACTGGTTATCATCCATTTTCACATTATTGACCTTGGATAACGAATTTCTTTGTAATTTGTCGTAGCGTTCCAAAAAATCATTTTTGGCCAAAAAATCAAGGGCTCGTAAGCAAAAAATATAGAAGTTTTGGCATGCTAAAGCATTTTTTCAGGAGGTGAAAACCATAATGGGCGGCTAGTTTGTCAATGACATCCGGGATTTTTTCAAGCTCCTTAATTTTTTTGCCGAGCAATCCTTTTCGGCAGAGTTCGCCAATTGAGTTATTCTTTTGAGTTCTTCTTTTGTTTTTATTTTTATTGTGGGGCATATTTTTCGAAATTGTGTTTAAATTGAATTAAACTGTGTAATCGTTATTGTCGGTTGCAAAAAACAAAGTTCGCACTTCTCAGTGTCCACGTTCAGGCCGTTAAATTGTTCCAATTCAGAATGTTTTTAGAGTCCCGGAGTACTACTTTATCGTCGTCGGCTTAATTTCTATCATCTAAATACCAGATGTTAATTTTCGACTACAATTGTTTGACTAGTGTCTGAATTGTTTCCGCAAAAGGGGTGGGGCTTCGAGATCACCTTGCTGAGTTCCGTCTTCTGGCATTATGACAGAGCTTCCGTAAAAAAGCTAACTAGGTTTACTATACGCGCAATGGGTGTAAAAATAAAATTCGGGGCAATTTGAATATACTTGGTTCATTATTGTTTCTCTATTTGGAGAGTTAAAGGCATTCTTAAAATCTAGTTTTAAAAGAACAGTGCAATTTGGATTGTCGTCGCGTTCAATTAGGTTTCGAAACGAGTGTCAGCTATTTCTGCTCCTCGTTTGGTACCGCATCCTAACTGAACATTTTCGAAAAAAATTTGTCGCTCGGAGCGGGCGTTGCTTCCAGCGCATTTAGACGCGATACGTCTCAACCCTCCGTCTATCTTTATGAGGGCGATAAGCTTTGCGCCAAAAAAGAAAGGTCTTAGGCGTTTGGGTATTTTGCCATCTTCAATGAGGTTTACCAGCCTAGTAAGCGATTTCAGAAAATTAAGTCCTGCACTGCCATTCGACTTACTAAGAAGATATTTAAAAATTTGAGGAACTTTTTTATCGGGACCTGCTGTTGATCCGTTCGGAAAAGACATCGCTTTGTATAGGTCGAATTCGGTTACGAACAAACTATCTAAATTGTCTGGATTTGTAGCTGCGAATTTGGCTCGCTGAGGGTGCTTAGACAACAATTTTTGATAGTTACCAGCTGAAAAAGGAGCAATTTTGTCATCCGAAGCAGCAAGCCTCATTCCTCCCTTTACATTTCCTTCATCGAGCTTACAACTTATTAGCTTTATTCTCTGCTCGAGGTCACTCAGAGGCGGGCTTGAAACTTGGGGATGGGATTTTGGAAGTGACACGTCCTTTGCTCGAATTTTTTTATTTATCAAAGAGCTCATGCTTGTGGTCTGTTTGCGTCAACTTCTTTTCGGTAGCTTCAAAAAAAACAAGAACGACCTTTAAAAAATTAGCCATTTTGTAACATCTTCTACATTGTAGACGATGTCATTTATTTTGTACGAAAGATTTTCCGCCAAGAGAACATGCAAGTCTTTTGGTACTCTCTTGAGTACTCGAACATTTGAGATGGCTGTATTAACATAATTGTCTAGTATCAAATCATTACCTATTGTTGCTTTAATAACAGATTTTCCATCAACGCATAAAGGACACTGAAAGCATTTGGTCATTTGGTTTTCTAAGAGTTGCTAAGAGAAATAAATACACAACTGATATGATACCAACTAGAGCAACAAAAACAACCAATCCAATTTATCAGTCCAGAAGGTTTTAAAAAATCTTTTCTTGTACCCTCTTTGTTGTTTTTCCTCATCTTGACGCAGCATAAAGGTAAAAAAAGGATTTTGACTGGATTTTAGGGGACTGAACTAACCCATGATAAGTGGTTAGTGGGAATTTTATAAATTAGCAAATAAAAAAGACAAATAATTTAATCTAAATTTTAAAAAATAATTACAAAAATCAAAAAGAAGGAACAATCTCACCCGAGCTCAGTAGGTCCAGCGTTGCACCACCAGACTCTTCAAGCCAGTTTCACTTTCCGACCTTCCCACAGAAAGCCACTTGTCAGACCTGTCTCTAAAATCCCTCAGAGGGCGCTCCACAAACAGGCACAAACATCAAACAAAACAAATCTATTTAATAAGTTTATCACAACAATTAGGCTAAAAAACTTTGAAAATCTAAAAGTAGTATCTAAAAGTTTGTAATTTTGCGTTTCTTTCATTTCCCGTTTCTTCTGCGCACGTATTAGCTCTCTCAATCTGGTTGACTTGATTCGCAACCATCTTGACTTTCTTTACTTTGCGTGATATTTAGTTTCCGTTCCTATCACCTGCGCCCCAACTTGTGGTTACGCAGCAAAAAGTCATAAAGTAAACAAATACTATATTAACCAATCAGTCGAGAACAGGAAGTGAACTTAGGAATAAATAATAAATAATTCTTTATCTCCGAAGTTTGCTTTCTTTATCGATTCTGATTATTCAACGTAAAGTAATTTCTAAAGCTTTGCTGTACATTTAGCATCTTCTGTTATTACTTGGGGCCGCTTTCTCGCCGTGACAGATTAAACGGTGTCCATGGTGGTGCTCTTATTGCACGCAGTAAAGGTTATTATTTCAATCTTCCTATAGTTTAATGACTTCAGTTGTTCAATTGTCATCAAAGTCAGTAGGTGCCGGACATCAAAGCCAACGGGACTTGAGGCCGAATCGTATATCAAGAGACTTCACGCCGAACATTTTGTCAAAGTTGTGAAATATGATCAATTTGAAAACTGTTTTGAAGAATTTCTCAATTTCATCAGCTTGCTTAACAAACTTTTGGCTGTTTTATTGTTTTTGAGCCTCTAAATGATGTTTAGGAATATGAAAAATTATAACATTGTTCATGTGGTGTTTCATGTGTAAAATTTATGCATTTCAAAATCCGGCTGATCTAAATGTATGATGCTTTTCTTAAGTGGTGCATTGTCATGAAGAACGCTCATGATAAACTTAACTTGCCTTTTTTTTCAAAATAAACATTTTAATGATAAAAATTTAGCGTTTTTAGGTGCTTGTAATGTTTAAATTTCGGCTTGAAGTCCCTCCGGCTGGAAGTCCCTTCGGCTTGTTGTCCTACACCCAAAGTCAATCACACGTTTGTTGGTTTGATAGTTGTTTATAATCCTTCCCTCAGTTCTGACTATCGCCTTGAGTCATCCACACTTACAAACGCTGTTAAAAACCATCGTGATGAGGTGCTCAAACACATCGATTGCTGCCCGTCAGACCAAATTGTGTTTGCTGTTCTACGTGACTTCAATTTAGCTGACGTCAGTTGGAGCTCATATTATGCATCTTCTCAAATTCGATGAAAATTTTGAGCGCGTTTGATGATCTCAAAACGTTTCAATTTGTGAATTTTCCGACTATTTTGTCTGGTAAAATTCTAGATCTTTTCTGGTTGAATGAGCCACAGAGATTTGTTGTATATCGTTCAGAGAACCCCTCTTCTGATCCTGATCCAATTTTCGCTCATTTGCATGTCTCTGGAGATGATTGTTTTACACCTGCTGTCTCAAAGCAATTGTATTTAACGAAGCGTTTCAACACAGAACGTTTTATTTTTTTGGTTAGAAACTCTTTACACCGAGTTGTTTTCAAGTTCTCAAAGTGATTTCCTCTCCTTTTTTGATGTTTCTATCAAGGCCGCACTTGAAGATTCTTGCCCGAAAAAAAGAGTAAAAGAAGACTTGCTTTTCCTTATTACTACTCTTCTCGTCTTCATTCTATTCATTCAGCCAAAAAACACAGAACTCTGCGATGAAATTATGTTTCAAATCCATCGTATATGACTCGGTTAGAGAGTGATTACACCAACTCAGTTGTTTTGGATAAAGTGTTGCTTTTTCAGATCTTTTCTCCTTCCGCTTCTTCTTGTGCTTTTAAAATCCTGAAACAGTTTAAGAAGTCCCCAATCATTCCAAACAACCTTCATTGGGGTAGTAAGCAAGCTACCTGTGACGAGTCTATCAGTGAACTTTTCAACCAATATTTTGCTTCTGTTTTCGGGAAGCCTGTGTCTGACTATACAGTATCGACTGTTTCTGCTGATTCTGATAGCAAATTATTGGACGTTGATTTGTCTCCGTCGTTTATCAGTTGATGTTTACAATCCATCAAAAACACACCTGCTCTGTTGACTCTATTCCTGCTTCTGTTCACTAATGTTGTACGTCGTTACTTTCCGCTGTTGTTAGTTTTCTTTTATACATTATTATCAACACTTTCGTCTGTCCGGCTGCCTGGAAATGGGCTTTTGTTACTCCAATTCTGGAATCTGGGTCTCCTAAGGATATTACAACCTACAGACCTAGCAATATCTTATACCCCCTTGATTTATATTTTGAGAAAGTTCTCTTCAATCATATATATTCAAAGATTCGAAAACATTTGTCGAAATCTCAGCAAGATTTCAGAAAAAAACGATCAACTATAACACAATTGTTATCGTCTCTTGATGAAGTGTACCACACTAGTGAGTTCAACGTTCCTTCGGCTGCTGTTTATTTTGACCTAATTGAAGTCTTTGAATCTGTTCGTCATGATATCTCTCTAAGCAAGCTATCAATGCATGGTTTCGATCATGATTTCTTGTTACTCTTTTTGTCGTATCTCTGTAACCGATCACAGTGTGTTTGTATAAACGCGCACATTTCCAATCCACGTCCTGTTACTAGTGGCGTTCCTCAAGGCAGCATCTAGGGGCCGCTACTTTTTTTTCTTTTTATCATTGATCTACCAGTTATCTCTCACGATTTTCCAGTTTTTCTTTGTTCGCTGACAATTCAAAGTTGTTTTCTACTGATATTACTTCTCTAGAGCGTGATTTCGATTCTTTCACAAACTGGTGTACTGCAAATGATTTATCGGTCAATCGCGATAAAGGCAGTCTCATTGTTTTTAAAGGCAGTGTTTCACGTCATGTTATGGTCAACAACCAGGTTATATCTGCTTCAAATGTAGTAAAAGACCAGGGTTTACTTGTCTCTGATGACTTGATCTGGATGACACATATCAAAAATATGCTGTTATCATGTAACAAGTCCATTCATTTTATCAAACGCAATTTTCCTTTCACTGTCTCTCAGTCCACCGAGCTCATGTTTGTTTAAATGTGTATCAAGAGCATCATTTTTAATGCATCACCTGTATGGTTTACTTCCATATGTTATGTCCTAAAATTTGAAAATTTCAATCAAAAGTGTCTGAAATGGGTTATTGGTCCAATGCCCTATAAAGACCAGTTATCTCTCACGAAAACATTGCCTATCCGTTACCATCTTATTTTCAACGATGTGTTACTGTTTACAAATTGTTAGGAGGTCTTACAGAGCTGCTATTTACTATGTTTTTTTTTCAAGGTGACCACCAGCTGGAAGTACACATCCTCTCCACAATTCAAACAAATAAAAAAAATGGTAGACCGAGAAATTCTTCGTTTATCGCGTTGAGAAATCCGTCAACGAGTTGATCCGTCTTGGTGTTGATATCTTTGCTCACCTCTAGTCTTTCAAGAGAAGAATCAAGGAATTTCTTTTAGGTTGACCTGTGTCAGTTTTTAATCACATGAACTCATGGTTCTTGAAGTGCATGGTTCTTGAAGTGCACTTGTTCAAACTGTCGATCTTGACTATATTTTTTTTGTGCCTTAACTAATTTAAGGAAGTTAGTTCTATCATCATCATCATCACCATCATCATCATCATCTTCATCATCATCATCCGATTTCTTAATATGGTCTGTCTACTTTTTGAATGGTATGAAACAAGTGCTGTCTACTTTTTGGCCACACTTTCCAATTGGGCAAGGCCAGGTCAATGGTTTTGACTCTTTACAATAGTTGAAAAATAATTAATTTATTTAAAAAAATAGCCAATTGTTGTGCAGGTAGCGTAATATTTTCTGATCATATTGTTGAACTACAACAATTTTTTTTCAATAAATGATAATTTCAATTTATTTTGAGCGTGGTGTGTTAAACGGATCTGTACGAAAGACTAGAGTATGGGCATTTCAGATATTCATATTCAAAATTAGATTTGTGAACACCTTTTAATATAATTTTTCTGAGCTTGAATAAAAAAGTTATGGCTTATTTACTACTAATGGCTTATAAATTACAATGAGCCTGCCCGCTCGCCCTGCTCGCTCAAAATCAGACAAAAAATCAGAATTTCAAACCAGTTTGTTCCGACACCGAGAGAATTTACTGAGAGTTTTCAATATGCTTCGAATCGTGACTGTATGCGCTTTAAAATGAGATATCAATTCATCCAGTCCAATAAAAGATTATTTGCGGTGCCTGAATTCGCAGGGAACAAAGAACGAAATCTTGTATGCGAAAAATTTTATAGAAGATTGTGTAATATATCCTGTATTATCAAATCAATAATTTTGATTGATCTGAAACTCTTAAGACAACTTTCAGACGTGTTTTTCAATTGTTTCTGATCTTTGATTGTTTTGTAAATAAAGTAAAAACAGTTTTAAACCTCATGAAGCAGAAATTATGCGACAACGCTGCAATTAACTTTTGGTAAGTTCTATTTATTCTTAGCGGTAAGTCGTAATCAAATTTTTGTTTTCTTTTGGAAAAACATGTTTCAATTCAATTTTTCTAACTTTTGAAAACTTGTATTCATGTTTCTGCATAGCTGTTTACCATATTTGACAACGTTTACCGTTTTTTTACCATTTTTTCTTCTTAATGCCGTTCATATTTGGGTTAAAACTGCAAGAGTTGTAGCCGCCAAATCCATTTTCTACAGGTTCAAACAAATGAGCGAGACTAACAAAGAGAGAAGGAACAGAATGGTTACGCAGTCGTCGACATTTATTTGAATCCTATTAACGTGAACAGGCGGAGAGACTCTTTTTTTAGCAGCAACCTCTGGCCAGTACGCAAACTGTTCCCCGGCTTGATATGCTGGAAAATAGTATTTTACTTCATCATCTTGCTTCTAGATATAAAGTTGCTGGTTGATTTTACCTCATTTAAAGATAATGAAAGATATCCGGAGTTACCGTTTTCCTTCAGTGACAACTGCTCTTTTTTGTTTTCGTTTCGATTGCAAACACATGGCGAATTGTCGAAAATTG